CCCTACAAAGGTTTGGTAAATTATCCGAGCCGAAAAGGAAAACAGAGGAAATCCAGGTTGTACTAGACAGGCAGACAGACAGACAATTTGTGGTTGTCATGATGGTTTTTTCGGTTTCAATTTATTATTATTTTTTTTTTAAAAAAAAAGAGGGAGAAATGTGATTCATGAATTCTCAGTTAAAACCAAAATTCAGATCTAATGTTAAAATAACTACCATATGAATGCATCCAAAAAATGCATGACTATATATAAAGCCACATACATTGATATAACTGAACTACATGCAAATCATGGCATATTATGATAATACCATCATTCAAATCAGTAAACCGAATCACAAACTACAAGTTATGAATCAAAAAAATAAAGGCAGAGGTAAAGAAAGATGTGGTACCTTCTTCTCCTTTGGTCTACTGCTGATCAATGGAGGAAGAAGAAGAAGAAGATCACAAGCTTTTCCTCCACTTGGCCCCGGCATTCACCAGCTTGGTATAAGCGTCGGTGAAATCTCGGAAGAACCCATCTTCGTTTTCTGCATATTGCTTCACCCACCTGTGCATGGAAACATAAATCAATCGGTTTACCTACACATTCCGATTTTGTTAAATCTTTATCTAAATTGTAGTCTGATATCTTCTAACACATATCTGATAGACTGCTGCAATTTACTTGTAGATCAGAGCTTGAGGACAAAAAGCATTTCACAGGTAAACTGACCTTAAGCACTCATCGTCCTCCACGAGGGCATGATCTGATGGAAGCCCAACCATGCTCCCCATTTTGGCTGCACAAAAGGACAGGTCATCAGAACAAACAAGTAACAGTTGTTTAGAAAAACACAACCATCCATTCTCGCCATTTACAGACAGTGGTTGATGATTAGAAATGGGAAAGAATGGTTAGAAAAGAAAAAAAAGCCGTATATGAGAACGAACGGGGAAATTCAAATGCCGAATATAAAGGGCTCTGCCATGAGGATTACATGAAGATGACCATGGTTTCTCAAGAAGGATTTTGTAGTAGGAGTTGTCAAAAACAGTTGGATTTCCAAAGCCTTTGCTTCCAAGAGTATGTGCACCGGACAAGGCAACTAGCTCTTGTGTTCTGCAATGAGATAGATACAAAGTGATGCCTGTGCTTCCATTTAAAACACATCTCATCAATCCTTGTGTGAGGACTCACGAAAAGCCTTTTCTTTGGAAACATTCTTTCAAACCCAAGGCATTCAGGGATTCCGGTGGCAGCTTTCCTTCGGGATCGGGTTCTCTGTGAAAGAAAAAAAAAAGATCTAATCATCTCCGTCGAAAGATGGAAATGATTAACAATAAAATTTCTTAAATGAGAACAAGATGGTCGGCTTACGATGAATCCAGTCTTCCCAGAGCTACTGGAATAGTTGGACCCCCACATATCGAAACTGCTTCAGACCCAGCAACACAGATCATATCCGCCCAAGACACTAAATGCATATATGAATTGAAAAAATTAACAGCCAAAGCAGCAATCTTTTTTTCTTTTACGTATGCGCGGTTGAAATAGTAATTACCTGGTTGTATAGCATCCAATCTAGTCTTTGCTTTCTCTAGAATCTAACAAAGAAATAATCCATCTATCAAGAAAATTAGCTCACTGGAGATCACATAAATTTGACCGGTTTCGAACACATTTGCAATAACTTCAACGTGAAAAAGGAAACAAAATAGATTGTGAAAATTACATCTTTATTTTCTCATGCTAACAGATAAAGGGAGGGATTAATGCCTTTATCGATTTCTTCAAACCTGCGTTCTCAGGTCTCTCAAGTTCATAAACAATAGAGCCATTCATGCCACCTGCCATTAGATTCATAATTTAAGAACATCTGAGTCTTTGAACTGAGAAAAACACCAACACAAATCCACTCAGAAGAGTCAAAAATTGAAAAATCATTCTCCAGACACTAAGTTTGGGGTATCAACACCGAACTCTACTCAACAAACACAATTACATTAACTTCGACAAGTTTAGAAGATCTACCAAGTGAATGGATCAGAGCCCTCATCAGTTCACTCTCATCCGAATTCCAAATTCGAAAATAAACAAAGAAGCATCAATAAGCCAACAGAAGCAGAAACCCGGAAATCCATGATCACTAATTCGGTTTTGCAAAGGAGAAAACGAGTTATAAGCATCCTAAATCTACAAAAGAAACATCTTATTTCAACCAAATTTCAAGGAAGTACCTGAACTCTCATCCAGTTCAAAGGTTCCAGCATCATGAAACACGAGACGAAGCACACCAGCAGCTTTGCCCTTTGTCACTACTTTTCTTATTTCATCTCGCATCAGAGAATTCAAGCTGGGATTTCACCATTAGTTTCTAACATAGGCACGATAATCCTAAAACCATACGTAGCGAAGAATATTAGCCTCAGAGAATCAGGGATTTGTTCAACTCACTCGTCTGCCTTTCCTCTCTGAGGAAGAAATTGAGTCACGAGCTGCATTGCCGAGAAAAGGGTAACCATTTTTCTTCTACTGGACAAAAAAACTCCGCGCGAACCTTTAAATTTCAGGAAAATTGCAAACATTCAATGCAAAAATACCCAGTGTAGTTTAACAAAAAAAAAAAATACCCAGTGTATCAGCTAAATTAGGCTTTGAACTGATTATATTCTCTATCCAGACAACACGTTTCAGCTAGGATTCCAAAATTCTCAGGAAAACGAGGGCCGACCCAAAATTTTCTCGGCAAACAAACAACATGAAAATCAACGAAACTATGACCAGCTCTCACCAGGATCATCGGCAGAGCAACGGATACGACAAGCTCTGAAAGATCCCCCACCAAATTTCCCCTTCGAGCGAGGTCTCCAATTCGCGGGAAAATCGAATTCGAAATTGAAAACCGAAGAAGAGTTGAACCAGAGAGGAGAAGGTTCGTACAGAGACGAAGTCATCATCTTCAACGCGGGAGAGAGAAGGAACCACCGAGCGACCCACTCGTTACATATCCCAAGTTTCACTTGACTGCGGTTAAGCGTACCGTAACGACAAAGTTCTAGCCAATCAAAACGCTAAACAGAAAACGGCACGGAATGCATAAAGGATACAGAAGAATGCAGACGACAAGCAGTTCATTTGAAAAACGGCAAGCAGTGTATCAAGGGAATGCTTAAAAACAGAGGCTAATACAAAATCCACATTGAATCTATGTAAACAAAACTATAACAGAACACAAAACTTGAACTATTACAACAACCCCATGTACAAAACCAGTATAAGGAACTCGCTATCTTGGACCAGATAATCTAACAGCGGAGAGATAAGTATCGCTGTTACAATCGGACGGTCCGGAAGAAGTACCGCCCTCCTCGCTGAGTGACTTGAAGAAACTCGAGTAAAGGCGAGACCCTAAAGTCGAAGAAGGAGGAGGCTGAACCACCGGAGAAACTCCTTCGAGCATCTGAACGACTCTGCTCATAGACGGCCGAAGATGCATATCTTCTTGTATGCACCACAACGCCACTTTCAACGCCCTCTGAACCCTCTCGTCGTCTTCCACGTCGACATTCTTCATCTTCGAGTCCACAATCTCGAGAATCTTCCCTTCCTCCATCATCTTGAACGCGTATGACGGGAAATGGCATTTCTCCGATGTCTCTGACGGATCGTAGTTCTTTCTCCCTCCGATAATCTCGAGTAGTACCATCCCGTAGCTGTACACGTCGCTCTTCTCCGAGATAGCATAGTTTGTGATCCACTCGGGGGCTAGGTATCCCCGGGTCCCTCGTAAAGTGGTGAATACATGGCTTTGCTCTCGTGTCATCAGCTTCGCCAACCCGAAATCCGATACTTTTGCGAGGAAATTATCGTCGAGGAGGATGTTCTCAGGTTTTATGTCGCAGTGGACGATTCTCACGTCGCAATCCTCATGGAGATAGGCGAGACCCTTTGCTGTCCCGAGGGCAATGTTGAATCTCGTGTCCCAATCAAGCAGGAAATCGCCGTTCTGTTTCCGGAATATCCATTTGTCTAATGACCCTTTCGCCATGAACTCGTAAGCTAGCATCCTGTGAGTTCCTTCCGCGCAGAATCCCTTTAGTCGTACCAAGTGAAGATGATGAATGCTTCCGATTATGCTGACCTCGGCTCTGAATTCCTTCTTCCCTTGACCAATCCCTTCCAGTTTCTTCACCGCTATACGAGTTCCGTCGGGTAGAAACCCTTGGTACACCGATCCGAACCCGCCTTGCCCTAACTTCACCAAGAAGTTATTAGTAGCACTCTGAAGATCTTTGTAGGTAAAGCGTATGGGCATTCCGGATAAGTTCTCGAGGAAATTATCCTCCTCCGAACTCTCTTGAGGAGCTTCTTCCCCGAGCTTTTTCCTTCTCCTGTGGAATCTCACCGCGAAAAAGATCAAACCCACGATGATACATACAGTTACCACGACGATGATCACGATATACGGGAAGTGTTTCCCGCCGTCCTCCCCTTCATCGGTGGTTATGCCATTAGACGCAACCTTGATATAAGAAACGAAACCAGTTCCTTTGTCCGAGTTTCTGAAGCTTCCCAACCAATCAAACAAGAAACAATTACCAGTAGAATTCTCGAAGAAGAGGCCGAGACACGAACAATTCCCGCTGCAAGAGGCCTTGCAGCCATCAAGATCGGTTTTTGAAGACGGGGAAACGAACTTAAGGGCGAAATAATCAAGCCCATCTCCGGAATTGATGAGTTCCACAGGTTGTGAATTGTTGCTTTTCTTACAAGGAGACGATATCCCGGTTCTGCAGTCCGATCGAAGGCGGGAAAGTCCTGATACACACTCGCAAACCTTACTTCCCGAACACTGTAAATAAGGGCCACAGGGCTCTGGTGTGGCACACTGATCTTGGGGTACTTTGGTCGAAGATTCAGAGGCGGAAACTCCATCGCCAAGAAAGTAGAACGAGATGACTCCATTGTTCCCTAAAACAGCGATCCAAGTCGAGTTCTCATCCTTGTTGCTGTCTGAAAATATGAACTGCCATAACAGAACCTTGCTCTGATCGTAGAATCTCCATGAATTGGAGACGAGGGAAGACGAGGTGGCGACCTTTCCGTCTTTGTTGATGATCTTTCTCTGGTCACTTCCCATAGACCAATACACCTGAGGGGTTGGGCTGCTTACAGAAAGAACAGCATCTCCTGATTTGATCTCAAGAACATAACTCACGTTGTCCGAAGATGGATCGCTCGTCAGTTTCATCCCTTCTTTGAATTCTTGGCTTGTGATCAAAGTATCAGTGGGATGATCGAAGCTTTCCCAGATGGAATTCCCGTCGTTCCCAACCACGACGAGATTCCCGGAATCTCGAAGCTCCATTGCAGATGCTCCTTTGCCTGAATTGTCCAGCTTCCAAACCACAGTTCCTCCTTTCTGCAACACGACATTGCCATTCTCTTCGAACGCGAACTTGTCCGAATTCGAGACAGGAGAAGCGCGATTCGCAGACCAGATCTCCCTCGAGCTGCTCGTATGGACGATGCTGAGAATGAACAAGGTGACGTCATTTGGGGTTGTGACGAATCCGAATCCGAATCCCGAGTTGTTGGATCGGAGAAACAACCCGTCCTTGTCGATGTAAGTCATCTGAGAACCTTGAAATCCAGGAGTTATGTTCCCAACGCGAAGAACGGACGCCATTAGAGACACTGGTAACAGGAGAACGCATAAGAACATGGAGCCCACATAGTGTCTGAAGCCCCAACCTCCCATGGCTTCAGTTTTTGGTCTCAAGATCCTAAATTTAGCTAAAACAAGAAAAAAAAATGGTTTTAAAAAAACAAACCCAGGATTTTACACAAGTGGACAAGATGTAGAAAACAATGACCCGAGATTTTATATTTAGATCAGGTCAATGAATCTACCAAAAAAGAAAAAGAAAAGAAAACCCAATCCATGATGATAGAAATAGACAAATCTCAAAGCCCTGACAGCTGTGCACGACACATCTGTTAATGGAATCGGATTCTTCCTGAATTCACAAGCTCACTATATGGCAAACACAAAAGGAAGACAGGTTCTCTTACTCCGAAAGGGGAACACCACTAAAACTCGGAGAAGCTCCAAGCAGTCAGGAACTCAGGATTTTCGTGGGATCAGAGCAGAACTCAGACAGAAAGACAGAGCGGAATCTAGAATTTACAGAGGAATGAGGCCCACGGAGAGATTGTCCAACCTTAGCAAAGGCAAGAGCTTCTCAAAAGAAGAAACTTTTTCGAACGGCAGACAAAATCGATCAAGACCCAGAAATCGAAATTCAGAAAGGAGCAGAATTTCCCAGGAAACAAGCGGCTTAAACCCACCAGTCGATGTTTATCGGACTCTCCCTCACCTCAATTTCTGGCCCTTGTGCAATGGCTGATGAAGAGGAAGAAGAGGACAAATGGGATTGGGAGAGATACACATGAATGAGAGGGAAGAGAGGTGAAAAAAAGAGCCTTTAATTCCAGGTCTGTCTCTCCCGGACGATTTCCTCCAAATCCGTTCGATTGTCTCTCTGCCCTCTTATGACCGTCACAGGTTTTGGAAAGATCCGACCACTTGGTTCATTTATATCTCAAACCAAACAAACACCACTTCTCTCTCTCTCCCTCTCTCTCTCTCTGATTCCGCTGGTTTTTCTTCACCTTTTTTTTTTCTCTGATTTCTGAATAATTATTAAGAAGGTTTTTCAAAATCGGTAGGGAGGCTTCAAAGATGGATCAGCAGCCGTCAAAACGTGGGTTTTGGTGTTCACTTTTGAGCCTTGACGGATGATCCAACACGAAGGAAAATGTTATAAAATAAATAAATTTAAAGAATTTTGGGGTGAGGAGAGGGAGAAAGAAAGGGTATGTGGGAAAGTGTGAAAATCTGACGAAGTCCGTCTCGTTAAGGTTTTTGCTGAAGCTCAGGTACGGATTACAGCTGTGTTTTGTGTCGTGTCCACGAACACAGCTTCACTTAAATGTCCAAAATACCCCTAAGGTAATTTACTTCTAGGCCGACCTGTCAACTTTGACGTCGAACATGCAAAATACGTCTACTTGGTTAACATAGATTTTATATATATTTTGTTTGGTTGGATAGCACTTATAATTTCATAAAATGTAATTATATGGAGTTGTAGAGTATTTACCCTCCGATTCATCTCACCAACACTCCGATTTCACTCGTGTGAGCAAGAAACGAAAGAAGGAGAGACGACACAGAATTTACGAGTTCGGTACCGAGCTCTAACGCTCGGTGCCTACGTCTCGGGAAGAGGGAACCGCTATTTGCTAGGTACAACACAGAACCATGCCGGAGAATCGACCGGAGTCGACTACAGCGCAACCGGAGAACCGAAGTTCGCCAAGAGAGAGAGAGAGAGAAGAAAACCTAGAGAGAAGACCGAAAACGCAATCTGTTCTGAAAACCCGAAAACCCTAGGACTCATAACGCGTCCTTTACACTTTCCCAAAATACCCCTCAGAGACTCTGCTTCATTCCGAGGCTTTGGAAGCCTCCAAACTGATCAGCGGGTTTGGACGAAGAACGCTTCCAACAAATCTCCACCTTCTTCTTCAAAACCTGCAAAACAAATATGAAGCAAACACGCCAACCATCCCTAACACGCTAAGTTCCCCTTTTACTTCCATTTTTAACTCCACCTCCCGGCATGATCCAAGGCGCATTGGAACACCGTTATTAGAGGAGTTCTTACCGAGCGTGTCATAAACACGTCTCAGCGTGACACGACACACCTAACCTACCCAAAGCGAGTGTCCCCCGACGCCTCCGCTTCCGAAAGGTTACCTAAGACCTAGACTAGTATGACTCCCTAGACCGTCTAAGTGACCCCCTCCGGTGAAGTCTATACCTCACCAATGGCCCCCCCGAGGGTCACGCCCCGACATCTACCCGTCCCTCGAGTCTACCCCGACTGCCCCGAGACTAACCTTGAGTCATACTAACACACCTAACTCTTGATCCCCGTAAAGATCAAGCGACCTATGACCTCTACCCCGGACCCCACCTACCGACTAAGGTTCCCCACGGGTTTTACCCCGTGAAGAC